TATCATTTATTGAAATATTCTCCTTAACCCAAAGATCTGAAGTGTGACATCTGTCATAATATGTTTTCATGTATGCATGGATCTGATTTTGAGCTCTTGATTTCTATTCTGTTCATTTGGTCAATTTTTCAATTCCTGGCCTAATAGTAAAATGTCTTAATTACTACAATTTTATTGTAATTCTTGATATCTGGTAGAATAGAGACCCACAACATATTCTCCAGGAAATTTCTGGTTATTCTTGGGCCTTTACCCCTCCCTATATATTTTTTTTATGGCATAATTATTATTTTTTCTTTATCTTTATTGTTGAAAATATTACAGATGTCCCTTTTTTACCCCTATTGATCCCCTCCACCCTGCATCCACCCCACCCCCAGGCCTTCTCCAGACCAATGTCTGTGTCCATGGATTATGCTTATAAACCNGCATCCACCCCACCCCCAGGCCTTCTCCAGACCAATGTCTATGTCCATGGATTATGCTTATAAACCTAAAGTTCTTTGAGTAATCTCTCCCCATCCACTCCCCCCCTTCCCTCTAAGATCGCTCAGTCTGTTCCATGCTTCTATGTCTCTGGATCCATTTTGTTCATCAGTTTATTTTGTGTATTATATTCCACATATGAGTGAGATCATGTGGTACTTGTCTTTCTCTGACTGGCTTATTTCACTTAGCATAATACTCTCTAGTTCCCTCCATGCAGTCTCAAAGGATAAAAGATCCTTCTTTTTTTTACAGTTGCATAGTGTTCCATAGTGTAAATGTACCACAACTTTTTTATCCACTCATCTACTGATGAGCACTTGGGCTGTTTCCAGATCTTAGCTATTGTAAACTGTGCTGCTATGAACGTAGGGGTGCATAAGTTTTTTGTGATTGGTATTTTGGGTTTCTTAGGATATATTCTTTGAAGTAGGATCACTGGGTCAAATGGCACGTCAATTTTTAATTTTTCGAGGAAACTCCACACTGCTTTCCACAGTGGCTGCACCAGTCTGCATTCCCACCAGCAGTGTACTAGGGTTCCCTTTTCTCCACACGCTCACCAGCGCTTGTCATTTGTTGATGGAGCCATTCTGTCAGGTGTGAGGTGATACCTCATTGTGGTTTTAATCTGCATCTCTCTGATGATTAGTGACGTTGAGCATTTTTCATATGTCTCTTGGCCATTTGTATGTCCTCTTTGGAGAAGTGTCTATTTAGGTCTTTTCCCCATTTTTAAATTGGATTGTTTGTCTTCCTTTTGTTAATTTATATGAGTTCCTTATATATTTTGGATATTAATCCTTTATCAGATGTGTCGTTGGCAAATATGTTCTCCCATACAGTGGGCTCCCTTTTCGTTTTGTTGATGGTTTCTTTTGCTATACAGAAGCTTTTTATTTTGATGCAACCCCATTTCTTTATTTTCTCTTTCGTTTCTCTTGCCCTAGGAGACATATTGGCAAACATATTGCTACAAGAGATGTCTGAGATTTTGCTGCCTACATTTTCCTCTAGGATTTTTATGGTTTCATGTCTTACATTTAGCCATTTTGAGTTTATTTTAGTGTATGGTGTAAGTTGGTGGTCTAGTTTCATTTTTTTACATGTACCTGTACAATTATCCCAAAACCATTTATTAAAGAAACTGTCTTTACTCCATTGTCAAATATTTATTGCCTCCTTTGTCAAATATTAATTGGCGATAATGGTGTGGGTCAATTTCTGGATTCTCTGTCCTGTTCCACCGATCTATATGTCTCTTCTTGTGCCAGTACCAGGCTGCTTTGATTACAGTGGCTTTGTAGTTTAACTTGATATCTGGTATTGTGATCCCTCCAACTTTCTTCTTTCTCAAGATTGCCATGGCTATTCGGGTTCTTTTTTGGTTCCATGTAAATTTTCGAAGTGTTTGTTCTAGATCTGTGAAATATGCTGTTGGTATTTTAATAGGGATTGCATTGAACTTATAGATTGCTTTGGGTAGTGTGGACATTTTAATGATGTTAATTCTTCTAATCCATGAACATGTTATATTTTTCCATTTGTTTCTATCTTCCTTTATTTCTTTTTTTCGGTGTCTTATAGTTTTCCGAGTAAAGGTCTTTTACATCTTTGGTTAAGTTTATTCCTAGGTATCTTATTTTTTTAGTTGCAATAGTAAATGGGATTGTTTCTTTAATTTCTGTTTCTGAGAGTTCATTATTGGTGTATAAAAATGCCATTGATTTCTGGCTGTTAATTTTGTATCCTGTTACCTTGCCGAATTCATTTATTAAATCTAGTTTTTTGGTGGAGTCTTTAGGATTTTCTATGTACAATATCATGTCATCTGTGAATAATGACAGTTTTACTTCCTCCTCTCCAGTTTGGATGTGTTTTATGTTTTCTTCTTGTCCAATTGCTGTGGCTAGGACTTACTTCCAGTACTATGTTGAATAAGAGTGGTGAAAGTGGACACTCCTGTCTTGTTCCTGTTCTTAGGGGAAATGGTTTTAGTTTTTACCCATTGAGTATGATATTGGCTGTAGGTTTGTCATATATGGCCTTTATTATGTTGAGGTATGTTCCCTCTATTTCCACTTTGCTGAGAGTTTTTATAAAAAATGAGTGTTGGATTTTGTCAAATGCTTTTTCTGCACCTATTGATATGATCATGTGATTTTTTTCTTTCAGTTCATTTATGTGATGTATCATGTTTATTGATCTGTGAATATTATACCAGTCTAGCAGAAATCCCACTTGGTCATGGTGCATGATCTTTTCAATGTATTGCTGGATCCCATTTGCTAATATTTTGTTGAGGATTTTAGGCACCTTTGTTAATCAGGGATATTGGCCTGTAATTCTCTTTCTTTGTATTGTCTTTATCTGGTTTTGTAATTAAGCTAATGCTGGCCTCATAAAAAGAACTTGGAAATGTTCCTTCCTCTTGGATTGTCTGAAATAGTTTGATGAGTGTAGGTTTTAATTCTTCTTTGAATGTTTGGTAAAACTCCCCTGTGAAGCCATCCGGGCCAGGGCTTTTGTGTGCTGGGAACCCTTTGGCTACTGCTTCAACTTCATCAGCAGTTATGGGCCTATTCAGGTTTTCTGACTCTTCCTGATTGAGTTTTGGAAGGTTGTATTTTTCTAGGAATTTGTCCATTTCATCCAGGTTGTCCAGCTTGGTGGCGTATAGTTGTTCATAGTATTTTCTTACAATCCTTTGTGTTTCTGTTGGGTCAGTTGTTATTTCACCTCTTTCGTTTCTGATTTTGTTTATTTGGGTCTTCTCTGTTTCTTGATGAGTCTGGCTAAAGGTTCATCAATCTTGTTTATCTTTTCAAAGAACCAGTTCTTGGTTTTATTGATCTTTTGTATTGTTTTTTTTAGTCTCGGTGTCATTTATTTCTGCTCTGATCTTTATTATTTCCTTCCTTCTGCTTACTCTGGGCTTTTCTTGTTCTCAACAACTTGTCAAGATCTATTAAAAATCCCTTTGGATTTTTGATTGAATTTTGATTCTCTAGATTATTTTAGGGAGAATAACACCTTTGTGATATTGATTCCTTTTAGGAATGCTCTTATATTTACTTTAACCTCCCCTAGTGCCTTCATTGCTCTGCTAGAAAACTGCGGCCACCTTTGATTGCCTTCTATGATATCAATAATGATGTTCTCTTGGTTCTGCTTTTTAAATATCTCTCAATTCTACTTCCATTTTCTATCTGTGTGGTCACTATTCTAGTTAGAACATATTTTTATTTTGCTTGAATTATAGCAACGGTGTTGCACTCCTCTAAACATTTACCTACACAGCAGCCACAGTACTGTTTCCAGAATGTGAATAAATATGCCTTACCTGCAAGCCCCTGAGAGCTGTTGAGGAGACTTTTCAGAGCAGTGAGAGAGAGGTGGACATCAGCTGGAGGAGCAAGCAGGAAGAAGTAAAGATGCGTTCATTTACATTTAAATGGGATGGGAGACTTTATGGACTCAAGGAGACAGTGAAGGGACCGAGGTCCAAAAGAGTAAGGAAATAACAGGTTGTGCTCAGGTCAGGCAGAAGGAGACAGGGTCAAGGGCACAGCTTGTGTTAGCTCTGAAAGGATGAAGAAAAATTATTCGAAAACAGGAGAGAAAAAGATGGAAATGGAGGAAGTTATAGATACATGAAAAGTTAAACGGAAGGACATTGAGATNAGAAAAAGATGGAAATGGAGGAAGTTATAGATACATGAAAAGTTAAAAGGAAGGACATTGAGATGATTTTTCCTATGTCAAGATCAAGTGCTGAGAGTAAGGATGGAAGGATGGATGTTGATGTGGGATGTAAACGTGTGGAGAAAATGCTAACCTACTGAAATGAACATTTAGTATATCCAAGTTAAATCTCTGTTTCTTTAGCAATTTAGTAGAATTAAGAAAATGGGCTAAAGAGTCACAAGTATTTGTGTTCCTATATAGATGTGTATATCAATTAGCTAATTTTGAAAAGGCATTTCTGTCTGAAAAATTGAATTTTTTTCATTAATGAGTTTCAACTATTTTTATTAAATAGTTTAAATGGGTGATTTTTGAAGTAAGTTTATTTTCTGGTGTCAATAGAACTCCATTAAGAGCACAACAGGACAATACAAAGGTTGATTAAAACCACTAGATATTATCATTGGAGATATTTTACTGCCTGAAAGCTGCCCAATATTACCTTCAGGAAAATTACTAGGAAATTGGTCATAAACTAGTGTATAAATTTAGGTTTAAGACTTTAAGAAAATAATTTTTAGAATTTAGAAAGTATAGTTCCAAAAGTCCATGTTTGTGAGCCAGCTGAAGTCCTGGCTCGTGGGCTAGGCACCTGGTGGGACGCTGTGCGGTCAGACAGGCCGTGATCCTCTTGTCGCGGTGTACCGACAAGATCTGCGTGTGAGTAGGGCTGTGTGCTCAGGATTCCTTTTAACGTTTAAGGTTTTCATGTTAAGTAAACAGTAGAAAGAAACATTCTCAAGCCCTTCTCTCTTTTACCCTTGTAGGAAGCTGTGAGACTGTTTAAAAGGGCGTTGGATGTCTTTTCTCATTCCGATAAAGGACCAAATGCCTTAGAGGCGGCAGTGGACTCCCTGTATAACTTGGGCCTTTGTTACATGGATGAAGGCAACTTACAAATGGTATTTTGTGTACTTAGGGACATAGGCTACTTGAGATTTTAGAAATTGCTTGCATTTAGCTCTCTTTCTGCAGACTGCCTGCCTGTACAGGGAGTGACTAACACAGTAGACCAAGCTGCTTATAAAGCGTGGCTTGTTGCAGTCGGGACGCACCCTGCGATACCTACTGCATTGATTTATCCAACACCTTTTATTTGATGCTTATTTGCCAACAATATTCAAAAGACTAATGTGTGTTTCTCACCAAAACTAATAAATTTAACTGTAAGAAATTATTATAGCAAAGTAATTTTATCACATTAATGTACATTTACCTATTAAATTGTAAGTACTTTAAATTGAGTGATTCATTCTAATGTAGAATAAGTGGAAAATGTTTAGGACACTGATTTCTCTTAATGACAACTGAGAATTCAAATCTGATTAAAACTGATTATTTAGATGGCTAGATTCATTGAAAACCAGTCGATTCAATATTTATGTACTTATCCAGTATTTGTCTATTTTACACAATTCTCTGTTTCAAAATTGTCAAATACGTAAAATAATTGATAATTTCCAATGGCTAATTTCGGATATTCTACAACTGTATCTCTGTCTACACACACACACACACACACACACACACACGCACGCACGCACGCACACACTCTCGTCCTTACATTCATAAGAGTGGACAGTGTCAGAAACTTGCATCTCAGACCTCAAAAGAGAGTTGCACTTGATTTATTGTTCCCTTAAGAAATTCCAGTAAATAGAAGATTAATTACAAATTTTTTCCGTGTTTTTAGTCCTTTTGGCCAACCAGAGCAAACCTAGCTTTGCTTTACAATGTTGGGAAAAATTTTGGAGTTCTGTTGTTCTGAAATTTCACAGCTATGTATCTGTGATGGTTTTGGGCCCTCCTGGAAAACAAATGTACTGATGTGATTTCTTTGAAGAAACACAGTATGAAGAATAAAGATTAAAATTACACCTGCAAAAATATTGTAATCTAACCACATGAATTATGTAGACATTAATGTGGGAGTAAGGGACCTGTAAATTATAATCATAAACCTGACTTGTTCATAAATATTACTTTTGTTTGCTCCACAAGGTTCACTGGGGAAAATGTATTTAGAATGGCCAAAAAAGATGGAACACTTTCAACAATAGTTATATATAGTAATTCATTAACATTATAAATTAATATAAATTCTACTCATTAAACCATTTGCTTTGTAACAATGTACTCTTCTAGGCTTTTGATTCTTTTACAAAAGCTGTGAGACTAAATCCTGAATTTGCAGAAGGCTTTCATCAACGTGGGGTTTGTAAAGTAAAACTCAACAAGGATAACGCAATCCTGGATTTAAATCGTGCAATTACCCTCAATCCAAAACATTATGAGGTATTTAAATGAACGCTTCCAGTGATTTAGAGAGTGTGTTATAGATTTGCTAAAACTATTAAATCCTTTCTAAGTCATTGTTATTAGCTAGTGACAAGCGGTTACTTATTTCTACTTTTCAGATAACTGTTTCGATAATGCATTACCTGTATTTCCCCTTGAGCTGAAAATATTATTTCCAACAGAGATATTATATATGTAAAAGTGTTTTGTAAATTGTGATGTATATAAATTTTGTTAATATTTTAATGTATATATTAATAATTATAATTTTATATACTATGTTATTATTAATTTCATTTACTTCTTGTTTTGCTATCACATTTATTTCTTACTTTTAAAAGACTATAAAGACAACACAAAATTTAGTAGGTGAAGTTTGATTGGACCCTGATTTTAAAAGTCTATGAATTTTATGAATTTTATATATGGACCAAATATTAGATGCTTTTAGGGAAATACTATTCATTTTCTTAGACATATTATGGTACTGTGATTGTACAGGAGAATGTCTTTTTCACAGGAGATACATACTGGAGACTTGGGGTGAATTGCTACCATGTCTACAACCTGTTTTTAAACAGTTCAGGGAAAAATAGATACAATAAATATTGCAAATATATTAATAACTATTCAATCTAGGTGGTAGTCATATAGATAGATGTTCATTGTACTATTCTTTCAATTCTGTGTTTAAAATTTTTTCTAATAACGGATTAGAAAAAAAACTACATTTTATACCATCTCTGGGTGGCATAGATTTATCCAAACTACCACGTATTTTGGCAGAATTGGTGCTTTTACTATAATACCCATCCCTGCTTTCTTCCTCTCTTTCTCTGGAAAGGCCTATTTAAGCCGAGTAGCCTTCTATGGTTTGAAAGGCAGATACTCCAAAGCAATCCTGAATTGTAATGAGGCCATCAGAATTTACCCTCAGAGTGTGCGAGCTTACATCTGCAGAGGGGTTCTGAAATACTACAACAAGGTAGGGGGGCCTGTCTCGTTTATGGACGTTTCGGAGCCGGCGATGCTCCGATGCCTTTCTTTTTTCTCTGAGAGAAGAACCACGTGGTGCTGAGGACAGAGCTGCATAGAACACCTTACACTCTCAAGCACATCAAAAGGGTTACAAAACAGTGACATTTTTTGACATTTACATTTTAAATAGCACAGTAGTATATTATTATTCATTGTAAAGAATTTGGAAAATACCAAGGGAATAAGGAAGACTAAAGTCACCTATGATCTCACCATCAATTGAAAATTTCTGAGAGCATTTTGGTGTATTTGTTTTGTCTCTTTTCTTCTTCTAATAATATATGGTCTATACTTTCCAAAGTGAGATTATGCTACTTATATAACTTGCATTGTGCCCCGCTTCTCCCACTTAACCTTTGAAGGTACCATTTTTAAATGGTTGAATAATATTCCATCATAGCTTTTTTTTACCACTTGATTGTTGGAGATTTGGGTTTTTAATTTTTTTTTACTATTTTACTATTTTAAACAGTACAGGTATACACACTGAGAACACAGTCATTGCTTGAGTTTATAGCTAATTACTAAATTACTGGGTCAAAGCGTGTGTGTAGCAGCACTGATATCTGATACTTCATAGAATACATTATTTTTCCTAATTTTCTGACCTTTTTTGTAGTTATTTCATATGAAATATTTTGTAAATAATACCTCAAAGCAAAGGTAAGACCTTGTATTATATATTAATTCCATGAAAATTACTGTCTATAGAAATGGATGATCTAAGGTATCAAAGAAACATCAGTGAGGAAGCAAAAGAACATGGATAGAAAACATGACTCTTAAGTGATCTGACAGCATGAGTGACAGCAAGCGAGCTCTGGTGAATGTTTGCTGGAGGAATATGGCTTGCTTCTCTTTTACCAATAAGAAGTATAATTTTCTCCTTGCTGTGTATCAACATTGGCAATAAGATAATCATCTAAATTAAAGTTTTTTATATATTTAATTTTATTTGCAAGTAACAGAAACTATAATAATAATTCCTACCAAGAGATCTTCTTAATTAACTCTGTGAAAGAGCAGCTTGATCGTCTTAATATCACAGATGCCACACAGAGTGTTCCAAAAACTCTGATAGAATCAAGAATTTATTTTACAATTAAATTTCAGTTCATTACGACTAACCCTTCTCACCTAATTATTTTTTTCTCTGTAGACTTATAAGCTAGCGATTACAGATTTAACTACAGCTATCAACATGGACAAAAACAGCTATATAGCATTTTACAACAGAGCATTGTGTTACACCAAGATAAGTGAACTTCAAATGGTAAGATGACCATTTTAGTAAACAAAATGTTAAAGCACGTGTAAAATATTTTCTTATTATTTCTGTTGCAATTTTGAAAAACAATTCTTGTGGAAATGCACACACCCCACACACCCACACACACAACTTGAGAAACCAAAGAACCATTTCAAAGTATATTTCACTTTTTGTCAGTGCTCACCAAATTTTCTTATACAATCTCAGTAAAATGTCCAATGAAAAATTGATTTTACAGTGCTTATTAAAAAACATATATAAATTAAAATACATTACATAATGCTCATTAGAGTAAATGTTTCTACTGATAAACTATGTGCAGAATTTTTAAGCAGCGATCATTAGCAACATTGTTGCTTCAAAATCCCAGCGTCAACTAGAGCAGTTTGCTGAGGTATTTTTTTGCACAGCGCTCAGACCGCAGATGCAGCAGTTTTGAGTGACGGTTTCCAGCTCTGGGATCAGTGGCCAGTGGCAACTATTGCTTGTGCTTTTTGCAGGCCTAGCTGATGGCTGCAGCAAACCTTTTTTGCTATTTGTCCTGGGCAGCTCCCACCTGGGCAAGCCCTTTTTTATGATTTCTAATCTTACCCCCCTTTTCCTCCTTTGTCAGTTTCCAGTCAAGATCCGTCAGTGGGGAGCCGCTGGCCCTGGGGCCTCAGTGTTGGGCCCTCCCCTTGCATCTCTTTCCCCTCCCTTCACTTGTCTCCCTCCTGGTTTCTATCCACTTCCACAGCCCAGGAGGCACTCCTTTCAAAGACTACCTCAAACTCCTGCCCTTCTGCTTGCACAAACTCCCCCAATCTCCTGGAAAGTGGGCAGTTAAACCTGTTTAAAACATTTAGAGATTTTGAAATTTATTTGCTATGGAAGGGAAGTTGAGAAATTGTTTCTAAAAGGATGTAGAATTCCTGGCAACTAGAGGATCAGGTTTCCTAGAGGACCGTTGACAAACGAATAACTAATTTTTAACAAAGGAGTTGTTAAGATTCTGGGACTAATTAAGGGATCATTTATCAGGGTAACTTGCTCAGCAGGTGTCTTTGATGACTCCCTCCCCACCCCCACCCCTGCCCTTTCTGGGTAACTCTGAAGTTACAAACAATGGGCTGGGTGGGGGCAGGGAACTCCCATTTCTGTTCTCTCTCATAGGAGCAGAGCCCAGTGCTCTATGAATAAGGAAAATGAAAAAAACTACCTAAATAGGGACCTCAGTAGTAGTATAAATCATATTGACTACTCTAGAGCTGCCATGTACCCAGCCCATTTCACCCAATCACTCATTTTACAGATGAGGAAATGGAAGTAGGGAGAGGTTGGAAACACATCCAAGTCACACAGGGAGTAAAGACACTGCTGTTCACAAGTTTATTTGCTTCTGGTTAACAGTCTTTAGGTGGCTTTGTAAAAACATTTGACCTCCAGCATGGGGACCGGATGTCATTTAACAGCGTCACCTCCTCCCTTTATGTCTACCTCCACCTCTTTTGCAGCATTCCTGCCAACACTACACTGAGAAAACCCAAGTATCTTACTGCAGAAAATGCACTTAGACATTCTCCCAAGATATGGTTTCATAAAAATTAACAGGTGAATTCTGATTCCTAGGTTCCTATGGCCTTAATAAAAATAGTAACAGTTAGTACTTATTGTGTGGTAGGCACTGGGCTAAATGTTTTACCAATATGTCATCAAAATGAATTTCTGCAACAATATGGTGAATTATTAATATCCCAATTTTGCAGATGAGGAAACTGAAGCTTAGTGTTAAGTAACATACCCAAGAATGAAAAGCTAGTAATAATAGCAGAGGCATGATACAAATCCTGCTCATTAACCTTCATGAATCTCATTTTATAGCTTTTGTTTCCTCTGTGTCACATATTCAGCTGCCTAGTGGATCTTGAGGCATCTTACAGGCTTTATGTTCTGTGATTCTATGAAAAGTGCTAGCATTCTAGTTTTATTAATTATTATGAATTATTTTTACAACCCTGGCAAAGTTTGTTAATAATTATGCCACAATGTATATAACTGTACAATTCTTTTAGACACTTGAGTACCTAATCATGAAACACTAGAAGACCACTGAGCAAATAGTAAAATATTATTTATTTGCATTTTCAGTTAGCACACGTTACAGGCATATATGATTTGGCCCTTTTCTGATGAAATTATATGGCTGTTTTGGACAAAATGTTCAGTAGAAAAATGAGTTAAGAGATTCAGCTCCAACTCAAATTTGGGATGCTCCTTTTATCTGGTGCAGAGTAGATGACCAGTAAAAATTTGTTTATTAAATGAATGAAATAAAAAGATAAACGTGATAGAGAAAGATTCTCTGAGTTGATTAATTCTCAACTGAGATTAATGTATTAAAAAAAAACACACCCCTAGTATATCTATCATAATATTTTGAAGTAATTTTCCGATAAGTGCTTACTCATTAGCTATATTAAGACCCATTTTCATTGATTCATGATTTATTCTCTCAACAAAAATTTATTGATTGCTTATTATGTGCAGGCACAGTGCTAGTTACTGGCTTTACAATGGTGAAAAAAAGGATAAGCTCTGCCTCCATAAAACTTAGGTTCCCGTGAGGAAAACAATAAAATACTAAAAAGAAACTGATTTTCAAAAGATAAAAGTGCTCTGCTTTAATGTCAGCAGTCATGTGGGAAACTGCCAGGTGGGGAAACATGTTGGATGACCCTTCCACCTGTAACAGCAGAAATGCTTAGGGTGAGTCACAAAGAGCATGAGGTGCAGCCACAGTCAGCACCACCTATTAAAATGTAGCATTATTCAAATATTTAGTTCAGGGGACTCTTTAAATTCAACAAATGATTATCTTGGACCATAAATTGTAAGTAAAATTAAATACTAACTATGGGGTCCTAGTTTAGGCATAAACACATATTTCTTTGGCCAATGTAGTAAGGCTCTAAAGCACTGAATCTAGATTGTAAGTGATTATTTCATTTTTAGGCATTAACAGATTATGGAATTGTGCTTCTTCTTGATGCTGGAAAATCAGTGACATTAAATACTTTCATTAATCGTGGACTCATCTATGTAGAACTAAAGCAGCACAGTTTCGCTCTAGAGGTAAACCTTCCTGTTCACTTGTGAAAATGAACCCACTTGGTTTTTCTTGCTCACTTCTGAAAATAGTGAACAGCTTTTTCTCAAGACCAAATGCCAGTATTGATGAGCAATAACTCACCTTTTAGCAAGAACTGTATTGAAATACTTTGAATGACTAATAGAACTTTTGTTAGAAAGATGTGTATTTTTACTTTGTTTTGATACAGGCAGATAGCCAATGTGTGAAAAAAAAAAAAGTTTCTGATTTGATGAAAATATAAGACTATCACTTCCCCCATGGAGTATCTTGACTACACACAAAATTCAATTATTAAGCAAATAAAATGACATGTATTGTGTACTTTGCTGCTTAATGCTAACTCCTCAGTTACAATTTTCCTCATTCCCCATTGAAAATATATAAAAATAAATCTCTTTTGTATAGAGTAGAAAATAACTGCTCAAAATAGGCTACTGAGAATAGTGGGAACAGGCGCTCAGCATTGCAATAGAAGATGGCATCTGCAATATATCAAAAAGGAACAGGTGGTTAAAAATGCATTTCTTTATAGAACAATTAAACAAAATTCACCATTCTAATGTTTTCATCTTATTTGTATTGTCTATTTTAAATTAATTTTGGAATAAAGATTAAGAGATACCAGGCAAATTAAACAGCAGTTTGCAGTTGAATAATGGTAGCTTTGCTTCTTGGTTTCTGAGGAACCACAGCAGAAATTTATTATGCAGTGGAGTGTTTCCTGCTTTTTCACCTCCAAAGATGGCTCGTATTATTTTTCGACTTCTGGGGTCATCTTTTGAGGTTCTGCCCCATGGAATTACTTATTATTAGGGAAGTGTCTGAGAAATCTTATTCTAGGCAATTTACACTATGATGAAATGTAATTCCAAACATTGAACTCCTTTAGGTTTTGGTTTTGAGATATACCGTTTGGCATTTCCTCAGGGAGGGGAGCTAAAGAACTTCTTTGTTTGGAGTAGGCAAGAAAGTTACAGACTCCGGGTAACAGTGTTGGGAGTAGAGAAGTCAGGAAAGGGGATCGGGAGCAAAAGAGCCAGTGCTGGAGAAGTCAGTGCAGGGCCTGTGTTATCTACAAGGTAAGTATTTATTTAGTATTTAATATCAACATACCAGGTTCTCAACAATGCTGCACAATTTATAATTGTAACTTACAGATGAGGAAGCTGATATCCGAAAGAGGCTAAAGAGTCTTTTAACCAGGAAGTATTGGGGCAAGATTTGATCTCAGGTCTCACCTGATTCCAAATCCCGTGTTCTTTCCAACAAGGCAGGTACTGGCATTGGCATTGGAGGTATGGAGATGGGTAAGACAGATTTCCAGTCCTTGAGGAGCTCATGGACTAGTGGAAATTATTCTTGATCCCTCTCTTTCCTCACACCCTACATCTAACTCATGAGCCAGTGCAGTCACTCTACCATCAAAGCATATTTCGAATTCAGTCATTTCTCATTTTTGCCACTATTATCTGTCTCCCACCATCTTTCCCCTGGACTACTGCAGGAGCTTCCCAGCCGGCCTCTCTGCTCCTGCTCTTGCGTCTCTCTCTCCAAGCGGTTCTCTAAACAGCAGCAGATCAAGTTATTCCTCTGCTCAGAACCCTCCAGTGGCCTCCCTTCACACTTAAAATAAAATTTGCACCCTTGACTGTGGCCAGCCAAGACCCTTCATGATCTGACTGCTGCTCACTGACCTGACTTCATTGTCAAACAGTCTTTTCGGCGCTCAGGCCCCTCCACTCTGGCGTTTTGCTCTTCCTTGGCCATTCCAGGCTCCCTTCCTGCCTCGGGGTCCGCACCCAAGCTATTCTCTATACAAAGAACACTCTTCCTACTGATCTGTGTATGCCTCATGCCCTGCTTTCATTTTAGGTTTCTGCTCAAATGTGACACCCGCCATCAGAAAAAAAAGGTAGATTAATTAAAATGGGATATTAGAAAGTTAAAATAATGCAAAATAAGTGTGGACAGGGAAAACAAAGAAACAGAACAGCAGAAAACAGTAAGGTAGTAGACCTTATTGGTTTAGTAGATGGTAAAAATATAGACCAATTTAGGTAATGAGAATATCAGATCAGAATTTTTAAAAAAGTCCACTATATTCTGGCTACAAAAATCACACTTTAAATACATTGATATAGATAGGTAAGGTAAAAATCCTGGGGAAAATATGCCCTGCAAACACTAAAGCAAAAAAAAAAAAATCCCCAAACCCCCTAAAAACTCATTTCCTTTACATAAATAAAAAATAAATTTGAAAAAATAAATTAGAAAAATGAGAAAGAACCAGCCAAGAAATGTAAGACTGACTAACAGAAGGGCTAAGTGAAGAAGAAGCAGGAGGCAGGAGTCTTGACACTCGCCCAGGGAAACATTCTTAGTGGGCGCTGGCCAGAGGCCAGGCAGGATGAGCGCTGACAGCGCGGAGCCAAGCGGCAGTTGTGTGACCTTCGCAGGATCGCCTCCGTCTGGAAGTGGAGCGCAGCGCTGGCCTGGCGCTGTCTAGGAAGGTATCGGGTAGGCTTGCTGGACCGAGAGCATGTGTTTATCTCTTTGCCCTCTTGAAAACCTAGCAGGGAGACAGCAAAGAAATAAAAAAGATATAATTCCACAGGGTTACAGATAGTGGAGGAAAGATGTTCAGACACCTAAAACAACCATTCCGTAAGTGTTTTAATGCCTCCAACTTAAATATCAATGGGTAGCCAAGGGTCCTACGCTTGAGGGAAGTAAAATAGAGACTAAAACAAATTATTACGGGTATAGTGATGGTGGGAGAAAAGACGTGTGGAATGATGGAGTAAGATAGCTAAATTCTATCCTATGTGGGAAGTTAAACATGATACAATTCTCATGCTCTTTTAAATTTGAAGATAAATAGCCGAAGAAATAATAGCAAGATGTAAACACAACTGTCTTTGGGGAGTGGGGCTCGGGGGTGAGGAGAGGTGGAGCAGGGGATTGCTGCAAGCTCTGTAAATTTTCTAGTTTTATTAGGCCCTATAAACTTTGTACATGGATTATTTTGATAAGAATAAAAGTAAATAAATAAAATATGTCTTTAGATGCAATTTACAAATGACAAGATGAAAGTGGCTTTAATTAAACAAGCACGAATAATAGGAAGTTGATGGAATCGGGGGATGTCGAGACAGTGAGTGTTAACTGTGCTTTCAGGGAGATTGGTAGTGACAGGAACTAGAAAGACAGGGCCATGTGTAGTTTGCAGGCAGGGAGGGTGAGGGAAGGCATGTCAGGTCAGGGCAGTGAAACAAGGATTAAAAATACAGAAAGCAGCAATGTGATGGAACAAGTTTCCAGAGGAGAGGGGAAGGAACAAGGTCAAGGGCCCACCCTCTGACACAGAAACAAAGACAGTGGGAGTGAAGGTCCTTACAAATACACTCATCAGTGGAAGGAATTTGCCTTGTGTGTGAGTGACTATGTGTGGCTTGTCATTTATGATCCTCATACTAGAGAAAAGATTAATACAGAAGGGAAAAATCATAAAACAACAGCTGTTAGCTTTATTCTAAGTAATACTAATAGTCATCACTTACGTCTATTGCTGATAATTATGTATATAGAATCAGGTTGACTTGTAGGTTTTACCTGAGTACAAAACTAAACTTGGTATTCTCAGCCTTTTAAGTTCTTGACCATGCCTCACAATCCCAAAATAAATAGGGAAGTTTGTAATAAATCTCAATTTCACTTGTAAATTTGCCTCCACTTTAAAACAGTCGTCTTAGCCAGGCCAGAGTGGCTCAGTTGGTTGAGCATTGCCCTGTGTGCTGAAAAGTTGCTGGTTTGATTCCTGGTCAGAGCACATCCCTGGGTTATGGCTTCTATCCCTGGTTGGGGCACATATGGAAAGCAACCGATCTATGTTTCTCTCTCTCTGCCTTCCTCTCTCTAAACATGTCCTTGGGTGAGGATTTAAAAACACACACAAAACAATAAGAAAATAAAACAGTCCTCTTAGGGGAGTTATCTGGTAGCGTATTTGATTAGATTACATTTAATTAGGCAAGAGATTTCTTATTTTCTTCCAAATAGTTCCTTTTAGTATCAAAATATGCTTCAGGAATCTAAGTGAGGATGCTACATATTGACATATTGGTCAGAGACATATTAGTCTGACTAAAACCTTCCTCTTCCAATAGCATCCCAGCGACTTTGCTTGACTCCACTACTCCCTCTGCCACCCCCAATATTTGCAGAAAACTTATTCTACTCCCACAAGACAACCGGCTTCCTCCCTCTGCTACAGTCAGGGAAAGCTGTGGAGGGGGAAGGGGGAGGAAGGAAAATGGGGAGGCGGGAAAGGGAGACTGTCTGTTGTGGTTGGTTAGCTCCTCTCCTTCCTCCAGGGCAGACACCTGCCCTTTGAGGCTGGAGAGTGCAGGGTCCCAGCCTTAGGGAGGGAGTCTGGAGGGACTTTCCTTTGCCACTCCAGAAGCAGTGACAGGGTTCTCCACTTTTTAGCTTGGTCACCTGAGGTTACAATCAAAACTGTCCGTGAAGTTCCTGCTGTAGCAGTACTTTGGGAAAAAGCAGAATCATCGCACTTAACATAATATTTTGACATGTAGATATTTATTTAAGTATTTTATTAATTTCAGTTTAGTGGTGGTATTATTTTGTTTCAGTTCTCAAATATTTCTGTAGGTCTTTGAAAAGCTTACGCGCTTTGGACACCATGTGTCTGGTACCTAATAGAGGACAGTGCTCAGGGCCACAGAGGCAGGATCTCTTGCAGACTTTTAAATTTCTTAAAACACCTCTTTCCCAGAGCCATTCAGTCCATTTCAGCTAACTTCCCTAACTCAAAGTCTTGGAATTTCCCATTGTTCCCTCTCAGGAGGCTTCTAGGGCCTTGGACAAAGTGACAGACTTCTTTCCATTAGTATGAATTCCTAAGGTAGGAGCAGCCTTAGCTAATCCACAAAAAGGCCCAGTAAAGGCCCTTATCTGGCCTGGGTGTGTGTTGCCCTATAACATCAAAATTTCTCTGTAGGTGAATTTCCAATTCTATCTAGATGGGCAAGTCTCTGGTGGTGTGCACTGGGAAAAAAGCAATAAAAAGAAAGTAAATGAGATTTCACGACACATAGCAGAGCGAAACCACAGGAAGAGTGGAGACAAGTAGCACAATCTGCTGAGTGAGTTTTCAGTTATGGATTTCCTCTACTCCATCCATTCTCACTAGATGTGATACTAAAAGGAAAAAAAAGTTTTAAGGAGATGTATATTTTAATGCTTATGCTAAGTATATTCATGGTAGAAGCAAAGTTAGAAGGAAGTTTAAGAAAGCAAAAAGCATAATGTTGCAAAATTAACAAAAGTTTATCAAACTGTTTTCAGGATTTTAAACAGGCGGCATTAATGAGCAAGACTGACGTGAGCCTTTGTCAAGCTACCGCCATGTGCTATCACAGGTATGGAGTGCAATTTATGTTGAAGTGAAAGCAAGTGGGACTATCTGATAATTATATTAGAAGAATAGGCCCAGCAGGTGCGGCTCAGTGGATTGAGTGTCGTCCCATGTGCCAAGAGGCCACTGGTTTGATTCCGGTCAGGGCATGCGCCGGGGTTGCGGGCTCGATTCCCAGTAGGGGATGTGCAGGAGGCAGCCAATCGTTTCTCTCTCTCTCTCCCCCTTCTCTCTCTCTCAAAAATAAAATAATAAGTAAATAAAACATATTAAGATGAATAGAGAGGAAAAATGTAAGTGATGGGCAAAAATGGGGAGAGACAAAAGAATCCCTGTATAGAAGTGGGTAACTTCTAAGTATGTCATCAGCCCTCTTCTACCTTCTGGTAAAGTATTTTAACCAAGTCTTCAAGCAAATACCTGCATCGTGGCATTGGGTACCCACCCGATTCAAGCCCACTTACTGGGAAAGGACCTGGGAGATACACAGAATAAAATCATGCACAGCTTGAAAAGTCTAAGAATAAAATTAAGTGATTAACTTTGTTCCTAAAATGAAACTAACTCTTAAAAAGCCAGTTTCCTCCAAGAGAGAGTGATTTCAAAAAATTAAATATTTTCAAACAAATTTGGCATTTAGAAAACAATTATAAATCTAAAATGAATTAAAGAAGTACCAGTAAGTATCTATAAAAGCTACAGAAATGCATTACTTCAAACCTGTTTCTGAGATTGCTGTAAGAGTAAGTCAGGTTACAGAGGGGAGAAGAGAACGGTTACATGAGGCTGAACTGCAGAAGATGATCAGTTTACAATTTGTTCTGAGATAATATTACATAGATTTTGCTATCTATAATGTTTACATTTCTATCTATATATTTGACATCTAAAAATTAGTTTCTGGTCATTTTGCTTTTAAAAGTATACAGATTCAGCATGTGAAGATTTTAATGTGAGATAAAATATATTTGGTTAAGTGGTAGTTTATAGCATTATTTTTTAAGAGAAATAAAATAGCAATTAATTGGAGGGGGAAATTAGGATAGTTCATAAACTATGTAGACTAGGCTGTATAAATATCCAATTTTGAATGATTTAGGAAATCAACATTCCTCTTTTTTCCCTTTTAGGACATAGCACAGCTACATTTCCCTATGAGACATTTTCTATTTTATGAGCTTAATAATGTAATAACTAAAACTTGTGAAGGTGTCTGTGGGTTTAAAGGCCTAAACTGGGACCTTTATTTTATATGGACAGCAAAACATAGTCACAGCATTGTCTATTTTAATCCAGCAACCTTTGTGCAATCCATCCCTTTAGGTAATTGTCATTCTTAAAAAGAGATGGAACAAGGATGACTGATGTGTTTGTTTTGGTGGGTGAGTACAGAGCAAAAATGTCTGAGGTCATTGCATTCTCTTAAAATTAAAAACAGACTCCAAAATTTCTCTCAACTTCACTCCTTTGTAACTGTCAGAGTCAGTAAATTTCTCTGTGTGTCAGTTCCCAATCTCTCTCATGAATTGTAATCACTGGATATACTATATGGAGGAGCCTTCTTAAGCTGATACTGCTTTGCAATTCCAAACAACCACTTTCATCAGTCGACTAGAATCTCTATTGTCCTTAAATAAAAGTAGAATTTAAATCAACAGTAAAGCCCTCATAACTCAGTCCCAATGCCATGTGTTTTTGAGTTTTAACAGTTTTTCTGAATTTAACAATAAGAAATGTTTAGCGATTGGTTATATTTATTTCAGGAAAAATATTTTTGCTTCCCAAGGTAGTCTATAACATACTTATATCACATCAGCATGGTTCATCAGTATTGGAGATTCATTACGGGTATCTTATAGTGGGGAAAGTAAAAATTTTCCCAATTGGAAAAAGATTTTAAAAAGGAATAAATCTTTAAATTTTAGGACTTTGATCCTTGAACTCATGGGGTTGCAGACTTTTGAAGTATGCCTTTGTATATCTCTGGTTCTCACTCTTGTGGTTGCTAGGAGACAGCATTCCTTAGGCTGAATATCCTACTTGTTGCCCAATTTGGTCACGAAGAGTGTTGTGCTAGAGTTAATTTTTAGATCTCTTTGAGGAAGCCACCTTCATCTGAAAAAGAAAAAGTCACAGAGGGAGAGCCTGATTACTCAGTTTCATATCCTATCCCCTTTTTCACTTTAGCAAGTTGATTTTACTACTCTTTATATTTGCATAAAATATTTTTGAATCTTTGACTCTGCAAGCCACATTCTTTAGTTTTGGGAGGTATTTATGATTTATTTGTACAACTCAGTAGGGCACATCTGGTCACGTATGTGATTGATTTAGAAAACGTGGTGGGCCTCTGGGTCTGTGGCTCAGCCTGTAAGCTTAGCTCGCGGCCCACACTGAGTGCTGGGCCCTCAGTCCGCACTCACCTATGTCCCTGATCACATTACTTTATACAAACACATTTTAGAAAAGCTAACTTAATATGCTTTTATGTTTGTGGTAACTGATAGGTATTGATGAACGTGTATTCTGACATAACATCGGTACTCTGCCACACTTTTCCATTGTCTAAATGTCATGTGGTCGTTCAACAAGAGCTTCAATTACAGAACACTATGAGATATACTCATCTCCAGAAAGATGAAAGTGCTGTTTCTATCGTGGTATCTGTTTCATTTTCCCCCTGTTGATGCACGGAGCTGTGGAGTCTCTGGCTTTGACACTGTTACCTCCCCTGGATTTGATTTTTAATTGTCATCTGCTTTGAAGAACTTGCTAGGTGGCTTTAAGGTCCCTTTCTAGTGTTTAAGTTTAATGATCATTTACTTAGTCAAAACAGACTGGATGCTCAATACATGCCAGTGCTGATAACTAGATAGTTATAGAAAAATGACTTTCTCCATGTTAATGGAAATGAAATATAATGATTAGATATGCATGAGATGGAAAAATATTTGATTTTTCCCTTATGAAAAATATTTGATTCCTTTACCAACCCTCACCTCCCTGCAAGAGGATAAATAGGGAAGAAAAACTGAGTTATTATTTAGTCACATATATTTACAAACTAATAAATAAAATGTATTTTTCTTCTTTTGCTCTTTTCTCCTGGTGTCCAAAAAAAAAGGGTCCTGTCTTTATAAAAGATCTGAACTAAGGACTCCAATGTATAAAACTTTGGGTTTTTTTTATTGTATAAGGAAATATTAAATACATATAAATGTATTATAATCTGCTTGAAATAGTGTATTCCATCAATAATAAATCATATGTGTGTGTTTTTTATATTGGCCACTGATAGTTATTAAAAACCAGTTCAAGAGTGCCATTCAGCCTTTTATAATTCTGAAAAAAGGACTCTAGAATATTATTCCAGCATATTCTGCTATGAAAATGGCTCTTATCTCCCTTCCTTCCTTTACCACAATCTTCAAAGACCCCTCCAGCCTTCCTTAGGTCATATGGACTCATGTACTTACTTCATATAATGGATAATAAAAGTGAAAAATTTTGTATTAGGGTCAATGCAAATCTTTATGAAAACTTTATATACAGGAAAGCACTTACATACTCATAGAAAGCACCAATAATTTTATTTATTTTCAGAAACAAAGAGTTTGAAGATGCTGTCAATTTCTTCACCCAGGCTCTTAATATTAATCCTTGTTTTGTGGATGCTTACGTTGGACGGGGAAATTCTTACATGGAATATGGTCACGATGAGGGTACCAAAGAAGCACAGAAGGACTTTCTGAGAGCATTACATTTCAATCCAACATATACAAAAGCCAGAATTTGTTTAGGCTACAATTTGCAGGTAATATTATATAAGAACATTTTGGGCCATGAAAGTGCTACTGGTGGGGAGAGGTCCTGTCCCTTCTGGTTGCTGGTGGAAGTGGATTCCTTGCAATATTCAGAGAAAAAGAATTTTCTGAGACTAGTGTGGGAGAACAAGTGATTTTTTATTTGCATGGAATTATATCCCTGAGTTTCCAAGGTCACCTCTCCCTTAGCCCTTCCATAGAAGAAGTGTAGCGTTGGCTTTAGTAGGGCTAAAATGAGAACCAGTGTCCAGAGTTTCTGTTCCATGTCTTCACACTCCAGTCCAGTATCAGGCTAGCTTTGTTTGTGTTCCCTGCTGCAGTCCATTAGTCTAGTGTGTGTGGGCTCTGCATGGCCATGGGCCATACAGGTGAATGCAAGAGAGCCAAGAGCAACAGGAAAGCAAACTCCTTGTTTAGGGGACCACGTATACCCAAATTTTCTCATGCTTGCAGTGGCTCTTCCTACTCTAGCCACTGATCTCTGTTTCCAGGTTTGGCTGACAGACAAGTTCCTTCCCTATGTCACTCCAACTTCATTGGGCATGCATCTATCTCCCCTTTGTTAGATCCCTTTCCCCAGTGATCTGTGGGGAATGGACCGGTGGTTCCCTAGAGAGTGAAATTACAGCTTTCTGGTGAAGCTGCCTAAATGACATGCCTATAATGTCTGGCCTCCCTTTTTACTCCTTTCCTATTATTAATAACTAGCTAATTACAACAGTATCAAAAGCACCTTTTGGACAAAAGGAAGAATATATTTGGCTCTTTACTGGGATGGGGATACATGCTATTTCTTTGGTTAGAAACATTTTACCTTTCCCTTACCTTTCCCAACAGTGGAAAGCAGTTTCTCAGGGAGCCTGCATGGGAAACACACCTGGGGACTTGGTATGCTGGTGAGATGAGGATCTTTTGAATCTGAGTTTCTTTAATACCTTCACCCTTTTCTACCTCGACCTCATACTTAGAGACAACTTTTAAAATTTGCCTGATGAATTTCACATATAAGAAACTAGCTAACATTTGTTTCGCTAGCTCATACCTGGGCTTCATAGATTTTGTCCTGTTGAATTAGTGGAAAGCTAAAGGGAATAAACAATGTATGAAAGTTTTGAAGTGGACCCTAGCCATGCAATGGGGTCACACAGTCACTGTATAGGGACTTCTTCATTCAGGCCATCTTCCAAATGGCAGTGAATTAGAACATACTGGGAAGGCAAGGCACCAGGCATTTGTTCTTCCAGCAAGATGGAAGAGTGCTACTCTGTGTGAGGCCAAGCAGTTCTCTGAGTGCTTTCTGGGACACTCTGGCCTGACCTATGCACTAACCAAGTTCTTTGCACTAATAAAAGACGTAGTGACATTCGCAAAATAAAGTGCTAAAAGTGCTGTATTCTCCGTGAAAAGCAGCTGAGTATTCTTAAACCCTCGTTTTATCCCTTTTAATATTCAAAAATTTAAACAATGGGCAAAAGTATATTCAAATATTGTAAACCACAGAAATTCCTGTTAATCTGTCATTAAAGTAGAATTTTTTTTCATTTAAAAATAAGTGAGTTTGGTGATCTGAGACTAATAATATTGGAGGTGGTTGTTGGAATTGGTGGTTATAGTGAGGTATTCCTAAAAGCTTATTAATAAGGAAAAAAGATTGCCTTCTGAGAATTAAACATAAAGTTAGCCATTATTGGATCACAATAGAAATTTGCAGTCAATTTAAAGAGATATGATGACTGCCAAAGCATCTAGAGCTGACTGCAATTCAATGAAATGTGTTATCATCATTTACTGCATTTAAAAGGCATTTACTGAGCACCTACTATGGGACAGGAACTGATCTAGGCCTAGGGATACAGCAATGAACAAACCATACTTGGTTCTCCTTGTAGAGTTTACTACCTAGTAGAGAGATGAGCATCGAGCAATCATGTGATTCATTATTTAGTTTTATGCACTGTAAGTGCAACGAAGAAAAAGGATGGGTTTTAGGACAATTTATGACAAGGGAATATAACTTTGAGGAGTAAAGGAGGGCTTTTAAAGAAATTAGCATTTAAATTGAGGTGTGAAAGACTAGGAATTAGTCCGGGTAGGAGTTGGGGATAGGACACAGTGTTCCAGACAATGAATTGGAG